AATAGACCACGTATAACTGTAAAAAATCATTTGAAAATATTTTGCTTTTAACCTGCTAAATTACCAAACTATGCAGTTCAATGGCAGAAGAATAGATAAAGCCAAAGGAAAAGTCCAAATATAATGTTGCAAAAAATGATGCATACTATGTTTAAAAATTACTGAAAAATTGGTAAATGAACTTGAAGATACATTCACTACTTATTTTTGTAGCTAAATGAAAGTTGTTTTAATAAACGGATAGTAATGAGTTATAAGAAACGAAGCAAAAACTGAAAAATCTTGAGAAACTGACATTTATGGAAATTGAATGAACATTTTTATTTAAAAAAATTATGGATACATTATTAACATTGGGTCAAGGATCTTTTACATTGCCAAATTGTCCAAATATTGGCATAAGCACGCATGTTAAACTAAAAACGTAAATGTTACAAAAATAGGCACAGACTCTTCAATTATAATTAATTAATAATGAACAAAAAATAAAAAATTTTAAAGATTTTCACATCAAACGCAAATGTCATACTCTTTGTTTATTATTTTACACAGTTCATACTGGTAATAATAACAATTAGTGGCAAATAACTGAGAAAGTTAAGGCATAGTACATTAAAAACACACTGGGAAATTGTTTGTACTGCTTTAGATGATATCAACAACTGCCTCTCTTCCTTTTTCCTTATCACCTCGACAACCAATAATCAATTTAGAATGGAGCTCACTGATTGTCACCAGGCGCCAGTAGTAGCCAAATGACCAGTGATTCAGACATCTCACATAAAACATTGCAACACACACACACACCAGTTGAGCTTTACAGCAACTGTTGATTTGACTTGCACTGTCTTCANTAGACATCTCACATAAAACATTGCAACACACATACACCAGTTGAGCTTTACAGCAACTGTTGATTTGACTTGCACTGTCTTCATTTCTACTGCTGTCGTCATTGTTGTTTTTGTTTTGATTTGTTTTATTTATCACTAAAACATCAATGACAAATGTTTTCAGTATTTTTGCTACTTCCAGTGCTGCTGCTTGCAAGTAAACACTTTACAAATGCTGAAGTGGCCAGCAATCACTCCCAAATAGTGCTCAGCAGTGTGTTCGACTTTGAAACGCCTTATATTGCCAAATGTTTTCTTTCATACAAAAAGCATTTTCAAGAACAACCACTTAAGTACTCTGTCACTTCGGTTTTTTATCGAAAATGTCATCATCACCATCATCAGCATCTGCAAAATGATTCATTTTCAGTGCCTATTGCCAGTTTTACTTCAGTTGGAAGGTCACTGGCACCGGCATTTGTGGCCACTTCCGGAATTGATCGGCTACTGTACAGTCGCCAACTGGGACTCGTACAAGAAGTAACGCTAGTACAAGCATGCACAAAGCAAAGCAAACGTGCACCATGTTTATCAAATCCAGTTTTGACAGCTAACCACGGTCGTGTCATATCTGTTGACCACCAGTTACGAACTCTGGCAAACCAGTACATTGACATTCCCTTCATTCATTCGTTGGCTAATAGGCACACAAAAGAGTTCAGAAGACACATCCCTTCGGGGCCTAAAATGAACTCTATTAAAGAGATTGCCTCAGTGACTTGGCCAGCGCCAGTTGAAGTACTCCATCCGTGTGGGGGCAATGAAGGCAAGGGTCTATTGGCAGTGATTTTTGTTTTTTGTGTTGTCAGTGACATTAGCCGGCGAATGACCATAAGAGAGACATTTGGCTCGGCGCTGAAAAATAATTCACAGACGGAGATCTACTTTGTTGTTGGCAGGGTAGACAACGAAGCGTAAATATTAAAATTTTTATTTTTTGCTAACAATAAAAAGTTTTAACTTTTCACAGAATGGAAGATCGTTTGCAAAAAGAAGCGGAGTACTACAATGACATTCTTCAATTTGACTTTAACGATCACTACTTCAACTTAACGTTAAAATCGATTGCAATGCTTCGCTGGACTGCAGTGCACTGCTCACAAGCAAAGTTCATTTTCAAACTGGACAATGATTGCTACATTAGGGTAAATCCCTTTCTCAAGCAGATGACGGCTTTTTCTGGTGACACAATTTACGGCATCTACCGCATTAATGAGCCGGTGATGCGCACAGGCAAGTGGGCTATCGATGAGTGGTACTATCCGCACAGTACGTACCCGCCCTATCACGCCGGCCCGTACCTCATTCCGGGTCCGGCTGCGCTCAAACTGTACGAAGCAATTCTCAGTGAACCAACACAAGACACCATTCCAGCCCTGCCAATTGACGATGCTTACATAACAGGCATTTTACCGGAAAAAATTAATTATCCTCGAGCATCTTTCACCGGTCTTCGAGAGCTTCATGATCGTTCCTATTTTCAAAAAAATGATCGAGAAAATGTTAAATATCTTAGCACCTTGACGGTTTACTTTGAAACACTTGGTGATGTCGATTTGCGCCGAATTTGGAGGCAGTTTGGTGTTGATTAAAATGTAAATATATTTATGTCAATTACTTGCACTTGTTGTTTGTTTAAAATGTAATTATTTTATCTGTTTGTATATTTATTAACCATTTTTGTGTTAGAAATTATGTTTTTATTATTTGTTTTTGTACAAATGCTGAACAAAATTACAAAATTAATTATTTGAGCGGATATTATTTGTTAAATCTGTAATTAGGCAAAACAAACTTAGCGTTCCAAAAAATGCCTGTTAAAAGTATAATACATAAATGATGAATTAACATAATATAGTCACAAACAATCAAACTTTTACTGACAGAATAAATTGTGGTGTTTTCAATGGGTGACATCAAAGAAGAAAAACCAGAATTCTTGCTAGCTATCACATCTAAAATATTTTCAATCTGTGCGCAAGAAAAAAAATAAAAAATATACAAAAAATATACAAAAAATATAAAGTTACCTTTAGGTTCACCAGAAAAGTAATACTTTTGACTCCTCTGCCAACAAGTGAACTGTACTGATAATGCAACTTCAATTGAAAGTTTAGTGGTTTTGATCCGAATACAGAGTTGATCATAGTCAAACTGATGGGCGGCAAAGAGACTGAGACAAAGAACAGTTTCATAAAAAGTGCAGATTGAGTCATTGTTACTATGTACAATGAGTATCCGAGAACAGAGCTGGAAATCAGTGTACAGTAAGTAAAGTACCAACGCCAAAAACGACAGTCCAAGTTTGCCACTTCAGTGATTAGTCGTTCATGTCGTGACAAAGAATTTAACAAGTAGTTGCTTGTGAGTGAGTTAAGATTTTTGTTTTTAAAAGGTTTTAGTGCAAATGGTCCAGTAAACTCCTTTTTGAATTTTGTCAACAAAATTTTGCAACATAAAAGAAAATAGGCAAGAATGTAGTAAAAATTAAAGCACACACAAAAAGTCCAGGTAGTCCACATGACGATGATTAGGCCACTGTGCAGGAGAAATATCGCTTTGGTACCAGCCCAAAGTTTAGTTTTTTCAGTTTTGCCAGCAACAAAAATAAGCAGATCTTGAAAAGCTACATTGCCGTACATGCCAGCTGACAGTATAATAGGCAGTCGAAGAATAGTTTCGGCAAACTTACCCAAATGCTCGTAAGTGGGCACTGGACGAAGGTATTGGTTACAGTAGACGATAATCAACTGAAAGTACCGTCGAGTGTTGCAATTGGCGTACAGCAGTGTTGATGCCGACAGTCCAAGGCAAGTGTAAGCAAAGACTGTCAGCTCAGAGTGAATTCGATCGGCACCTACTAACTCAAAAATTGAGCCTAGCATGATTGCGTACGTATATGTTTCTGATGTACACAAAATAACAATTACTCGGATTAACATTAAGGGCAAAACAAAAAGTGCAATATTCTGATAAAAAATATTCCATGTGAAAACTTCTTTGCTTTGTTTCTTTAAGACCGCCTCTACTTGACGGTAATTTGAAGGTGTAAAATAAAAAAATAGATTACATTGAAGAAGTTCACGTCGTTTATTTAGAGGAAGCATGCATTGTGAAGCATTTTGAGAACTGAAAATGGTATGTTTAAAAACGTTTTTAATAAAAGAAGACAAAGTGGTCATTCTAAAACAATAGTTTGCTTTATATCGTTTATGAAAAATTATTTTTAATTTTTAAGATTATTGTACCTAAGTTTTGCCAGTATTTATTGACAAAATCATATCTACAAAACCATTAAAAAGTTCTTTTTATAACAGTGTTTCAATGCTGCACTTTGACACTTGTTTATAATAAAACAGCCTGTCAAAATGACTAACGATATTTTTTTGTATAAAGTTTCCGATGCTCATTTATTTTTAAAAATTTTCTGAGAACAAAATAATTTGTTTTTTAACTTTATTATGATCTATTGTTCTTTAAAACAAATATTTAAGAATCGCAATAAATTTTATTTAAAACATTGTTTAGTGCATACCGGAACCACTAATTGTTAGCTTTTGAAACTTATGAATATTGACTTTATAAACCACTATTTTAAGTTCAGATACGTTGAGAAAAACCAAACAAAATTATGCAAATAAACTAGATAATTTTTAAAAATTCTAGAAAAATTCATGCTATATCATACCAGTTAGCAAAAATGCACTGGAACATTCCCGAACAATCCAATTAATTCTACGGTGCATTTTGCAGAGCATGACCGCTTTTCCGTCTCTTCTAGTCGTCTCTCCTCTTCTCTGCCACTTNCACATGCTATATCATACCAGTTAGCAAAAATGCACTGGAACATTCCCGAACAATCCAATTAATTCTACGGTGCATTTTTCAGAGCATGACCGCTTTTCCGTCTCTTCTAGTCGTCTCTCCTCTTCTCTGCCACTTTCTCCTCTCTTCGTTGCACTTCTCGTTGCAGTAGGCTGGCCTTTATAAAGTTTGCAGCCAGCAACACTGCACTACTAGACTTCAAAACGGCAACAACAGCAATCTTAAGCTCTCAATCAGTTAACTTAAACTTTTAATCGAAAAAAACTACAACTTTTACTGACAATGCTTCCACTCGAAGTTAACGATTTTTTCTTTGACAATCATTTGATGTTTCCAGCTAAACGATGTGAAGCCGACTGGTGGGTAGAACAAAACCTGCCCCTGGACGCCTATCATCTTGCCTATTTGAAACCAAAAAAATCTGCACCCGTTCCAGTGAAGCCAGTCACCAAGGTCGCTCCCTTCACTGCCAAATTTGACGTGAGCAACTTTGATCCGTTCGAGGTGTCAGTGAAAGTGGATGGCAAGTACCTCACTGTGGAGTGCACTCGAGAACGCAAAGCTGACAATGGTCACTTTGAGTATGGACACTTTGTGAAGAAGGTGCCCATTCCTGATGATTGTCTCACCGAGCACATGCACTGCAAACTGCACCAGAATGGACTGCTGCTCATCGAGGCACCACAAACTCAAATGGAAGCACAAGTGGAGACAGCAAAGGTAGACAACATTTCCGAAGAGAAGATGGAAGTGGAAGTGCAGACTCAGTCAACTGAAGCAGAACCGGTCACTGAGCCGCCCAAACTCAAAGAAAGCCAACCTGAAGTGGTCATCGAAGACATTGGACCGGAAATCTAACTGATCTCAACAGCTAAAATTTAGTTGTACTGTAATATAAAGTCTTGCAGTATTATGATTTGTAGTCATTTTATTTAGTCATTGTAAATATTTTGGAAATAACTTTATAAAAATAAAAGTTTTACAACAAAAAGTTGTGTAAAAACTGATTTGTGTGTAACATTCCATCATTTTAATTTGTTTGAGAAAAGAACACTACATAACTTGTGGCCAACACAAACAATTGTAAAAGAAAGTGCGTGTTAAAATCAAAAAGTCTAAATGCTTTCATGTGAAAATGCTGTGAATATAGTTCAATGAGCTCACTTTGATTTTTAAATGTATTTATTGAAGCCTTTTCTATTGGTTTCTTTTTGAGATGCATTGAAATTCGATTAACAGCTGTTAATATTTTTCTATTTGAGTTTGCCAGATATGCTATGTAAGCAAAAGGCACCAAAGACCGGATGAACAAGTCCAAAGAGAAATGACAAATAAAGCCATTGGTGATGGTTAAAATGTACACAAAAATATAAAGAAGGAGATAAATTACATTAATAAAAGACATCCGGTTGTTGACTTTGTAGTGAATTTCCGCCATATTCCTAATTTTCAACACTATTGTGGAATGGTTCATCATATTTGAAATTATTAGTTTGCGCTCAATGTCGCTAAGAATGCATATTGTTGCATAAGAAATGTAATGTTGAACATTGCAGCTCACTAGACCAATATTGCAAATCATGTACAAACTGAGCAGTTCCATGATTCGTACCAAAAGCGAGGTGACTGGAAAAGACAATTTGTAGTTTAATACGGAGATAAATGATATATGGTTTGCCACAACTAATAGGAAAAAGATGAGCCGAGACTGTTTTCTGTTCTTGCAAAAGAATTCAGAAAAACAAGGAGAGTCAAGCAATGCCATTATTTGTCGACCATGGTAAACAGTGCTAAAACTGCCTGCTACTGAAATGAAAGGAAAGAGAAGAACAACGCTGAATTGGGTGAAGAAGAGAAAAAGAGGTTTACGAATCAGTGTGCAACGATTTTCAGAAGAGCGGATTTCAAATGGGTCAAGAAATGTGCAAGAGTAACAGAGAAGCAACAATTGAAGAATGTTGAAAATGCAGAGAAAAATGCAATTTGTATTTTTCAGTGTGACGTTGTAAAATGGAAGACCAAAAAAGCTAAAATACTGGCCAAACATTTGTAGCACCGGAGATTGGTACTTGTAGAACATCTTTTGATAACAAAAAAAACAGCAAATAGAAAAACATTTTTGAATGTGCGCTTAAGATAGCCCAAATACTATTTTCCCAATCAATATCAATAAAAATTAATTTATTCTTAATGAACAATCATTTAGTAGAATTAGCACCTGTGTGCAGCAAAGACTTACATTTAAAAGAAATTGAACACAGAAAAAAGTTCTTCCCAAAAAGTGCTCCTGTAAGTTACCTGCGGGCTAGAGCGGTTCCATCTAACCCATTTGTCCAAGTTCTGCGACGCAGTAATGTAGTTCCACTTTGTGGTTGGCTGCGACCAGTCTTTACCGTATTCTAATTGAAAAAACGGCACTAACATTACTGTTTCTATTTAAACAATTTGCCCCTTTCTTACCTTCAGTAATAGTCTTTTCCGGCGTACAAGGCGTCAGCAACTTGTAGCCAAAAAGAACCCCCGAACAAAGATCAAAACGAGTAAAATTAAGATACCCGACCAAACCAGCCTCTGGCGAGTGAAGCGGCATCCTGATGACCGAGGTAGCACCATCCAAGTAGGTGAAGAATAGATCAGTTTTGAACCAAACGCTATTGAGGTACAAGCGTTTGAATTGAAACGTGTACTCGAGACTGTCCTCTAGATGGCCAAAACTTTTGAACAGACGAAAGCCGGCGTTTGAAATATTGCCTCTCAGCCAGTTTTCACGTGGAGGCTCATCAATTAGATATTTGCCCCACGAACCAAAGTCGGCATCATCAGTGTAGGGAGTGGCATGACAAGCTCGGTGCCAGCCTGAATGACAAACGGTGGTTAGAACAGGTGGACAAAAATAGTGAAAACAAATACCTAGCAATGTGCCGGAGATCATGAAAAACTCCATTTGCTGCTGCCTCATCAGTCGTTTCATATTGACGATTGATTCGAGGTAAAAACTGCTCAATAGATCATTTTCTTTCAGGTGATTATTGGAGGCCATCCACTGTTTGTTTCGCTGTTGAGGACAGTGGAGGTATCTTGAGGTGGGCAGCTGTGATAGTAGATGCTCTATGTCGTCAGCAAAGTACAGGCCATTGACTGCTTGCACGGAGAAGGGGTCAAAAATTTGCTCGTGATTTGCAGAGAAGCTTTTGAGTGCAGCTGGCTCTAAAGAACTGAAGTTGCCAGCTTGTTGATCATCTTTAGTTGCACCAATCCAAAGAAAGTGCTCACTGCGATAGACAAAGACGATGTGCAATCGGAAGATGCGACTACTGTTGGCATTGTGATTTGCAAAGAAAATGTGCAAAATTGATTGACTGCTGTTTGTTGATTTGTCCTCATAAATTGGTATTTGACCTATGATACGGCCAGTTTCTTTAAAAAGAGCAATTTTGTCCTGTAAAATAGTCATAAAACATTATAGTAAGACGGTTGATTCTGTAAAGCATTCTAACCTGAACATTTTTCCACTGATCAGCAAATACGCCCACAGTCAATGAAGAGTTTGAGTTCCACTGAACAAATGAAGGCAAGTGAAAACGCTTGCTCAACCAGCAAAGGTGTTCTTCAGTTTCTACTGTGCTTATCCTCCGCTGCTTGTTAACTTTTTGAATGGCATCAAGCATCAGCGAAGGTTCAAGCACAAAAAGGTCACCATTGTTTACGGACTGAAACAGTTGCACAAATGGCTCAGACAGGTTTGGCCAAGACACTGACAGACTGGTAGGCGGTGAAGAAAAAAAGTTAGAAATAGTAACTAGGAGAATAACAAAACTTTGAACAAAACTCTGAACAAAAAACAACACCATTTTTCAAACAACACAAAAAATACATTGTGTTTGTTTTTAGTTAATTTATACAATTTTAAATCGAACTGTACAGCTATTAACAATTTCAGATACACAAAATGTTCACTAAAAAATGAGTTCATCTTATCTAAACTATACATAAGATGGTCTAAAAGATCTTTTGTTTGCGTGAAGAAACTGTTCAATAGCATCATCAGTTTCAATATTGAGATGCCTGCTAATGAACTGCAACGCCTTAGCATTCGTCAGATCGTGCACATCAAGCGTGTCAATGGTCGATTTTTTAGGATCCAGCCTCGAGAGCAGACTGTTCATGACCTTGCTGTACACCAGTGGCACGTCACACTGTTGCATGTGCGTGCTGCCATTGATTGTGAACGCCTGCTTCCGATCATGGTCTACGTGCTTGAAAATTTCCGAAATCTTTTTGACATTGTGCTTTTCAGTGCCTAGCGTTTCAGCGTTGATGAGCAACAGTGGCTTGTGAATCTGATCAAGCGGCACAGGTTTGAGCGGAAACGCCCAAGCATCAAGTCCGACGGCCACCTTGAAGCGAGCATCTTCTATGACGCTGAGAATTGTGGTTGCACCGCCAAATGAGTGGCCCATAATGGCGAGCTTATCAGTGTTCAGGTGGCTTTTAAATTCCGCTGCGTTGTAAGTTGAATCAAGTGCATTCTCAATGCTGTCCCCGCCATTTAGCCTTTCAAGAAAGTCAACCGCCCTTGAGCATTCACCGGCTCGGTGCTTCACCTGAGCATGGCGGAATTGAAGAGCAGCAGGAGAGTGGTCGATCAGGCTGACGTACTGGTGACGAATCCACACCAGCTCCCGTTCGCTGTCAACTGAAATGGGCTCCAATGGCCGTGGTGGCTTGTACTGAGAGATGCCGTAGTCTTTAGGATTGTAGTTCTGCTCATCATTCTCCGACAAATCGTTTCCCCTTTTACTGCGGTAGTAGAAGGACATTGCTGCCGAGTTGTCTCGATGTTCCACAGCTGAAAGCATTGGCACTTATAATTGCAGCTTAAAAACTGTTTAAAATATCTCACCTGCAACGACAAAGCCTCTGGAGGCGAATTCAGTGCATATCGTCGAGTAGACTGACCGGTAGGCGCCCAGGCCATGTGAAAAGACAAGCAACGGATACCTGTCAGCTGAAGGCAGCAACAGTGCGCCGTTCTCAACCACTGGAACGCGGACATTATCCAGCGGGTTGACGGCTCGGGCCAGGGCACTGATCACTCGCGACCGTACACCGGCCACGTCGCCCAGTCCTTTCTCGTATCCCTCATGAGGCAGCCACTTGGCCCACTGTTTCGGATCGGTGGGCAGTGAACTTGAGCTTGGGTAGAAGAGTCGGACGAGCAGTCCCGTCTTTCGGGAGTTACCCAGCAGAAAGTCGCGAAAGCCGACACTGGAGTGAGGGCCAGTCGGTCGCGGTGTGTGGCGATGTCCCGAGGTGACCAGCGCTTTCGAGTGCCTGAACAGGCTGCTCAACTGTTGACTGCTTGACATTTTCTCGTCTTCTTCTTCTTGATGACATGCCATTTAAAAGAGAAAAATGAAGCAATAAGCAAAAACATTCAGCTTCTGTAGCTAAACTAAACATACCAATATTTGTTGATTACACAAAAAAGGAAATGCAATCACAAGTTGTCAGATTGTCGAGGCTGACACGTCAGTTCAACTTCATGTCACCTTTTTGCTTTCTGGATACTTTGTGTATCAGCGAGAGGATAAAGTCGCCTGCCATTGAAGTACAGATGTGTCTACCACCGTGGGTACATTATAATTATAATTATCATCATTTGCTGTTTTTAGCGGACTTCAGTCCAATCAACGTCACATGTGGTGAGATTTGTTATTGTCGCCAAAAAAGCAAAAGTGGTATCTGGTGCGAGGAATGTGCACTTTGTTGCTTCATGCAGAGAAGCATTCTTATGTTTTTTTCAAACAAATAAGGTTACAAAAAATTTTTATTGCGTTTTTTATTATTTGGGATTTTTAGTGGTCGCTTTTACTGTGGTTGAAGTTTTAGCTGTAGTGACTTTTGTAGAAGAAGCATTTCTCAATTTTTTCAGTTCATAGTCAATGGTGCTTAGTTTTCGCAGTATTTTCCCCTCCGCCGCGGAGAGCAACAGCTGAACGTAGCGAAGTGGTCTGGTTGTCTTCTCTCGGTGAAACTCCTCCTGCGTTCGGTGGAACGACTCAAGCTCTCGAATGGTGGCGTTCAGCTTTTCAAGAAGAATGCTCGCTCTCTGCTCTAAAAGTCTTGCCTGGTGAATGTCGCCCTCAATGGCGAGCTTCTCGTAGAAGACGCTGTTCTTCAGTCGCAGGTAGAGCATCTCCAGACGAGTGATGGCACTCTCGTCTGTCTCTTTCTTCAGCTGCTCCACCACCTGAGAAATGTTTTGCCTGATCTCTGCCAGTGTCACCGTCAGGCCTTTGTAGCCCTGGGCGGTGTACTTGCTGACAAGTCCATCCAGCTCAGTAGTCGTTTGATTGGCATCTTTGAAAATGTCCTCCTTCGACCTCTGCAGTGCATCGGTGCTCAGTAGAACAGCTGAAATTAACTTTCGCATTAGGTCTCTATTCAAGTCAAACATAGTCTTTAAGAATTACCAACAAAAAGAAGCAATGTTGCGACGGAAATGGTGAATAGGTGATTCATTCTTTTGTACATTTTTAAAACAGAAGAATGTAACTATGCATTCAGTGGACTCAATTTTTTCTTTTATAGACACCAGGAAGGGGACAATCAACCTACTTTAATCTTTAAACTAAAAACAAAAAAAAGTAAAGCGTGTTGCAGAGCAGCAAAGTACTTGTATCGGCTAGACGATGTCTCTGATTGTCTGGTTATTTTTAGCCAAGCAAATATTACAATTCAACGGTCAACTGATTAGATGACTAAAAATTTATTATTTTTTTTATCAATCTAACAACTGTAGTACATATAAACGCGCAATAATCACCTGATTTTTGGTAATTAATCATTTTAAACTTGAATCAGAAAAGTATTTAGTGTTGACATGTTCAATAGATGTATTGAAAGAAATTAAAAATGCAACAACTCCATGCAAAACATCAAGGTAAGAATAATCGTTTGTTTAAGTACAACACCGTCAAGTGTTTTTCAAATTTTGCTTTTGCCTTTACATTACATTGACCTTACCTCTTTGCTTATTTTATCATTTTGTTGTTTTTTAGTGTCATCCTATTTGATAACCACATCTTTAGCAATCAAGTGGAAGGAGAACGTTCTAGAGCATCATGTGCAGCGTTTTATAAAATGCAAAAATTTGTATTTTATTTAAATTAGCCATTTACACAAACAATGTTTTTGTAGATGCCTTTATCTCTTCACTTTCCCGACAACTGTTTGGTAATATTGGGCACAGAGCTGTCGAACTGTGCGTGGAAAAAATTTCCTGCAACTGGGTTGCCCAGGCTGTACTGCTTTGCGAACTCTCGTACCTTAAAGCCAATTCTGCCCTCCTTACTGTGATTGCTGACTCTAGTTCGGTTCAAGGTCAGTCTGTTTGCTTGCTTAAAGATGAGCAATGTATAGCGGTGAAAGGCACTGCCTAGCCACGGTCCTGAGCCAACGTACTCCGTGTAGGTGTCACCCTTTGTAGTGTCCAAGAACTGTCCACCTGCAGGTATGTTCACTACCAGCCAGTGTAAAAACTCTGCCTTTCTTTGGTCGGCTCGATTTGGCACGTCAGGGTCGTCAAAGGTCAGTGTGTATAGTGAGTGAGAGTCCAGGCCTGCAAAGGAAATGTTCACTGGTTGATCTTTAACTTGTGTGGGCGTCAGTTCGGCGCCCATCAGCATTCGGACGCCAGAGGGAAAGATCACTGTGGCTTCCACTTTGGGTTCAACGTCAATGATGTCTGGTACTATTTGACAGAATTTCATTGCTTCAGTGGGCGATGCCACAGCTGAAAGGCCAATGACATTTTCACCTGTGACAACAATTAGTACAGCTAAACGTAATAACTTGAGAAACATTTTTGCTATTGAAGCAAAACTTTAAATGCCACATGTTAAGTTTTAAATTAGACAAACTTTTACTTTTAAATTGATTTTTTCTATTGGCAACGAGATAAAGCATATTTTGCTAGACAATCTTATTAAATAATTTTTGCTTTATAAACTTTATTACATATTATTTAATTAGATTAACGTTCATTTTCAAACCAATTATTTAAAAATGAAATTGCTTTTTGTAGTTGTGGTTATTTGTAATGTTTATTTTCAAAAATCTTTGTGTAAGTATTTCAAAATTTTACAAGTTTAAAAAATTAAAACGTTTTTAAAATCCTTTTCAGCTTCCTTTGTGGCTAAGGACATCAATGTCATCATTGAGCGAACTGAAGCCTCTCTGGTTGAAGCAAAGAAACTGATTGATGAGCATAAAAACCAAAATCGAGGCTACCTTCTAGACTCGACTATGCGTGAATTTGACTATATGCAGAAACTGTTGCCAGTGGTAAAGAACCTGACGCAAACGTTAACCCTTCGAACTAACCAACTGAATAAGATTGAAGAAGTGCTGCTGAAACGAGAAAATGCTCTTTCTGAAGAGCTGCATTTTGTAGAAGAGGTGTACCGAAACTTTAAACCAAATGGAAGCAGTAAAGATGAAATTATTCAGTTTGCCGAAAAAACCATCAATGATGCTAATGTAGAAATTAAAAAAAGCGACTATAAGCATACACGGTGGGAAATTATTCGACTGGAAATTCTTGTGCGAGACATGAAAAGGGTAATCAAAGAGATTAAAGAAATCACAGATCCGGTGAAAAAAGCCAAATGGTTGGAAACTAAAGAGCTTGGCTTAATTTCTTATGAGAAATCAGTGCGAAATATTATTGAAAAGCTAAACTTTGAAATTTAAAATTTTGTTAAAAACAAAAAAATTGAAATCAACAAACTTTGCACTGTAGTTTAAAAACATTTTAATTAAAATAGTTGTGTTATCAGTTGACAATGCTAGCAATATTTAACAGTACAAATCAAGTATTCTTATAGTGCGGTTTTTATCGCACATTCTTTGAGAAGTGACAATTATAAAGTTTATATAACAATTAATTAAAACATTATTAAATTAATTTTGTTTCTCAATATTTACAGTTTTTGCAACATAAAAATGAAAACAGTAGTCTTAGTTCTGACATTATTTTTTGTGGTGTCTTATGGTAAATGTTTTTTTAAATGTAAACGACTTTCCTTAATGTTTTTTTGTAGCCGCCTTTGTTGCCAAGGACATTGACGCCCTTTTTCAGCGTGCCACCGAGCTGGAGAAGACAACACAGCAGGTGATCACCGCCAATTCTCACCTAAACTACTCTCGGTACCTTCTTGTCACTCTGATCTACCACAAAAACGAAGTGGGCAAAATTCGCAAGCAGCTGCAAACGCTAATTGAGCATAATGTCACCTATCGATTAAATCTCTTGAACCGATTTGAAGAAAACGAATTATACCATGAAAATCGAGTAAGTGAAGAAATAGAGCTCATTTTCGAGATCGATCACNAAAACGAAGTGGGCAAAATTCGCAAGCAGCTGCAAACGCTAATTGAGCATAATGTCACCTATCGATTAAATCTCTTGAACCGATTTGAAGAAAACGAATTATACCATGAAAATCGAGTAAGTGAAGAAATAGAGCTCATTTTCGAGATCGATCACTTCCTCAACAATAAAACCACCAAAACAGCTCAAGAGTTGCTTGACTACGGACAGAAGTTGATCAAACTGGGAAATGACTACCTGCTGAAATACCGCTACGTTGATCCCAAGCCAAAAGAAATAAAGTTTATTGAGTTCCAAGTAGATCATATTACTAAGCTGATTGATGATTTAGACCGAACTCATCCAACAGGCGTTCGCTTGGACGACATAGAAATTGCCCTGATTCTTTCAGAGAGAAGCTTGAAAGCGCTTGTAGAACGGGTTCAACTGCCTTTTAATATTCCTTATTTAGATCCGTGAAATTTTGTTTTTGTATCAAACCAAAGCCCACAATCAAGTACCCAGAGTACAATAGAATAAACTGAAAAAAATTAAAGTTTTTAAAATTAAAAATTTTTTACTTAAAGATCCTCCGGTCAGTAGTTCAAACAAACTTTTTGTTGAAATTTTTCCAAAACAACCCACGGTAAAAG